GTCATAGTATAGTAAGGCATAAAAAGTCATAGTATAGTAAGGCATAAAAAGTCATAAAAAACGTCATATTATAGCAAGGCATAAATAGACATACTATATTAAGACATAAAAAGTCATATTATAGTAAGGCATAAAAAGTCATAGTATAGTAATAGAATCACACTTATGGTAAGTGTCAGAAAGTTGAAAGTGAAAACCAGTGAAACAATAATGAGAGCACAAAAATAATTATTACTGGATAAAATGAAGAAAACATCTGAAGATTTAAATCGAAAAACATCTTAATTAAAAGAATATCAAAATTAAAATGTTCAAATAAAAATTTATTAAAAATTAAAAGTTAAGATTATAAGACTGACGTATAATTTTAATGCAGATGTTTTATTTTTCAGTGGAACATTTTTCAGTGCCAATACAACTTTTTCACTTTTACAGTGCCATTGTTTCCATTTTAAGTCAAGCTGTGTTACTGTCACTGTTGTAACCCCATAATTACAGTTACATTTCAGAAATTATGTATATGTCTTTATTTAAACTCGAAAATCACTGAAGGTAAAGCCCTCATTTACAATGAGGTCGAGCAGATAAAACCAACAGTTAAAATAGGACATCTAATTAAAACAAGAATCAAGGTCAAAGGTAAAAGGTCAGAGATTAAAAATCTACCAACAAATTCATTTTTAAACTGCTTTTTAGTGAGTTAAAGGTGGACGGCGTAAAAAAAGCAACCACAAGCAGATTTTCAATAAGGGCCTTATAAATAAATAAATACATAAAATCAGGCCTCATCCGACCTTGTGTGTTACAGGCATCAGCGGTAATGAACCTGAGAGCAGAGCGGTCGACAGCATCCGGGGGTTTTAGAGTTACAGCTGAAGACTGAACAACATGTCACCATCATCTACCACTGATAAAAAAGTTATTAAATCAAATTATTATAGGACTCATAAATACAGTGTGTGAATTGTGTATCATCATATGGTTCGACCGGAAAGCAATAAGCCTAATATTAAACATTCAGCTGAATGATCTTATTACACCACATCACAACAACATCAGCTGCAGCCAACAGTCAACAGCTTCATTAAACGTCTTATAAACTGTACACACTGAACTAATAAACGAACACGCACTGCTGAGCTGACGTCCCTGTAGCACACAACAGGACATTATAAAGGATGTTATCTACGTTAAGGCGGTTATCATATCAGTCGACCCTGTTTGAAGTCGCCCAGACCAGAAACAGACTCACTGCTCTTCACCACAGCGCTGTGTAATCTCTGTGTTTACTCTTCCTGTTGTCTGTGCTTATGACTCCATATTAACTTGACAGTGTTCAGTCTCCACTTCCTGCTTATGTACTCTAACATCCCCTGGGTTTAATTGCTTCATCCGTCACACCTGTAAAACTCTCATCTGTGATTAAACAGTGTCCTGGTTTTTTCTCTGAGTCACAGAAACGTGTGTTTAACAGGAAACTGAACGTATGAAGGGACAGTTTCCTGTTTCATCTGAACCAAAGGTCAGACAGCGCAGAAATCAACACTGTGGTTTGTAACTGTAGAGAAATATAAAGATTAATTATTAGCAGAAATTTTGTGGAATTAACTAATAATTTCTTAAAATTAACATTTACGTTTTTATCAACATCAAGTTAATTGAAGTTACATTTCCAGGTTTTATTTTCAGACCACTTCAGAACTTATAAACACGAGTTCCTCCATCTTGAAATGAGGAGTCGACTGAATGAACAGCTCATTAAATTAAGTTTCTAAAAAACACTACCGGCGTATTAGCAGACTTCCCAGCATGCACCTTTTCCAGAGTGAAACAATCCCGATACCGCTAAATGTGAGACGAGGACAGTGATTGGTTTATCTCAAATTTCTCCTGAACCTTTTTTTTTTTTATTCCTTAGCGCCAGCGACAGTCAGAGCAGCGGCCATTTTGTTTTCAGGTTGCCCGTCCGTACGTCTCAACACCTCGACATGAACTTCTTCAAATTTGGCACAAACATTCACTCAAACTCACGGACGAACTGATTGGATTTTGGTGGCTAAAGGTCAAAGGTCAGTGTGATCTCACCAAACACTTTTTAGCCTTTACTCAAGACTTCAGAGCAATTATGACAAAATTTTACACAAATGGTTCAATTCTTTGACTCTGGATAAACAGGATGTAACATGGAACTAGTCTGAGTGTTGGAGGGATACAACAGACACTCCCTCAAAAACTCATTCGTATAATGTCTTCTTTCAAGGAGGGGCTGCTTCCTTGTACTTGTCAGTCTTGGGGGGTCTCTGGTGAGAGCGGTGAGGAGCCCCCCCACACCTCAGGATGTGCAGCTTTGCCATGATGCTCCTGCAGCAGTGGTTCAACATGCTCCTGACGGCTGCTGAGGAGAAGTAGAAGATGAACGGATCCAGGCAGGCGTTGAAGGTGCTGGAGAGCAGCGCCATGTTCCTCCACTCCTCGCTCTCCTTCCGCACAAACCCCACCACGTGGGAGGCGTTGTAAGGCCCAAAGCAGACGGCGAACACCATCAGTGTGCCGAGCGCCAGGCCTATGGCACGCAGCCTCCGCCGCCGGCCGATGTTTGGAAGACGTGAGAGGATGAGGATGAAGTTGATGTAGCAGAAGCAGCAGATGAAGAAGGGGATGCAGAAGAGGACGAGGAAGAGCTCCAAGCGGACCGGCAGCACGATCTTCAACTCGTCCTCAGTGAAATTCAGGTAGCAGGTGGGTGGAGGAGGGGCGGGGCTGCTTCTGCTGGTGTTGCTGTCACCGTCTGCACCTTTGCGCCACTGGGCGTAGGGGATGATGTAGACGATGCTGAGGTTCAGGGAGGTCACCACCCAGAACATGAGGCTGGCCAGCACGGCGTAGCGAGGCCTGCGACACAGGGAGTACCTGAGGGGGAACGCCACCCCCAGGTAACGCTCCACGCTCACAGCTGTGAGCAGCAGGGTGCTGTTGTAGATGGTGACGTAGAACAGGAAGCCGGTGAAGGGACAGAGGGGGAAGGGCAGCAGCCAGGCCATGTCGTCCGACGCCTCCTTCATCTTAAAGGGCAGGAAGGCGAGGAAGATGAGGTCGGAGATGGTGAGGTTGAGGAGCAGGATGTCTATCGGGGTCGCCCTCCGGTGCACCTTGCGGCAGAAGGTGAAGAATGCCAGGATGTTGGCGGGAACGCCCATCAGGAAGGTGAGGATGTAGACGGACAGCAGCACGTGACTGCACCGCATGATGGCGTTCACAGGGACCGACTCTGAGACTCTGCACCAAAGAAAACATCAATCATTATTTATAAAAGAGTTAAAGTGAAGCTGATAGTTTAGACAGACGTAATAATCTCGTTTTCATCCTTCGTCCACCGTATGTTCAGGTTGAAATATCTCAACAACCATCAGATGGGTTGTCATGAAATTCTTCACAGACCTTCATGCTCCTCAGAGGATGAACCCCTGGGACTTTGGTCCCCTGACTCTCCTCTAGCGCCACCATGAGGTTGATATTTGTGGTTCAGAGGGAATTGTCTCTACAACTGGACTGTCATTAAATCTGATATTCGTGTTCTTTACTTTGGTTTATGAACTAGTGACCTTACGATCAGCTCAGCTGTTTTAGTGCTAATTAGAGATATTACTGTTAATAATATACTGTTGTTTCAGACAAGTGTAACTTTAAACTGTTCAATTACACCATATGTTGTTGCATTTATACTTTTTTAATCACTTTCTAATCACTTTTCAATAGTAGTGGCACATATTTCTTTACATATTTCTATTTTTTATTTATATATCATAGTATAAGGACCTGTTTTTACATTTGATGTTTATATTTTATCTTTATAATCTTACTTCTTACTCTCTATTCTTTGCTGTTACATTTCCATTCTTGCAACTGTACCTGTAACGTCACCTGACTTCCCCCTGGGGATCAGTAAAGTTTTCTGATCTGATTCTGATTCTGATGCTTGAAACACTTCAGGAAGTGAGTGGGACTGAAAAATGAACTACTCAGAGAAACTCTGTTGATTCAGTGCAACTGTTCCAAGTAAAGCTGCAGAACTTCTCCTTCAAATATCTCTCAAAGTAAACTGTGTGAAATAATTCATCATCTTCTAAAAAAACTTCATATTCTCCTTCAAATGAAATTAAAATATTATATATATATTATATATAATAACATATGGTTTTGTGGTTCGACCTTTAGAGGACGAGGCTGCTGTTTTTCTGTATTTTTCTGATTATCAACAAATACAATGAAATCACCAAAACCAACAACATGTAACTCTCTACTTTCCAACTTCCTCACCCTGTATTTAAATTAATTAATTAACAAGGTAATTTTCTAACTCTGCTGGTCACTGTAGTTTTTCACTCAAGCAGGAGTCAGTTGTTCATTTACTGGCGACTGTTGCTGCTGGAGAGAATATTGGGACGAGGTATATAATATTTAATCTAGCCAAAATAAAAAAATAAATGAAGGAACATGTCATCCAGTGCAACTGTGACTCATTTATGTTTTAATCATTTTTGGACACAGACGAATATCAGATCTATATGAGCTATATCAGACTTCACTGCTAGGAGAATAAATTATCTGTTGGTTTGCTGACAATAACGAGTAAAATATTAAAAGTGTGATGAACTCACCTCAGTCACACCTGAAGATCCAGGCTCTCCATCCCGGAGCTTCTGTCCTCTGTGGAGCTGCAGCGCTCCGGCAGCGTGTTACGCCTCCTGGAAGCAGAGTGTTTGATCAGAGTCACAGAGCTGCAGTTAATCTGCATGAACGTCTGTCTCACCATCAGCAGCGGAAATTTAATTTGCTTTGTTCTCTGCACTCTGCAAACATCATCTCCCAGCAACTGCTCAGAGCTCGACAGGATGCGGCTGGAAATTAGTTGTATTAACTTTCTGTGTGAAAGGACTTGACAGAGACAAAGTGACAGAGACAAAAGGAAAGTTACATCAGTTACAGCATCAAACAATAGAGGACAGAGGCTTTAGCTGTCTGCAGCGTCCACCAGGGGGCAGACAACTCACATTGTATCCCTTTTCTGCTGGATCTCAATTAAGAATTTCAACTTTTATTTTGTATTTACAACAATGCTGAAATATGTGAAGGATTCAAAGCTTCACCTTCTTTTGTTTTATTTAAAGCTGAGTTTGAAATTCCGTGTTTGCCTTTTGTCACATATAAGAATCTGTTCCACATTAACAGACTAAGCAGTAGAAAATATTTAATTTATGAAGAGATTCTGCATTAAAAATCAAATAAAGAAAATACAATTAAAAATACAATTCCAAAAGAATTTGCTGACTTATCTCCCCACATGATTTATAGCTTGTCATGTAATGTTTCAAAGAAGTCTGTGGTTGTAAATCCATCTCTGTAAACCTGTAAAATAAATCTGCGTGAGCAGCAAGGGGCACAGTCCACACACACACACACACACACACACACACACACACACACTGGCGGTCTTTCTAACTCTGACCCCAGAATAAAAATGATCTTTTCTTTATCTTTTTTTAATTATTATTAAATTTTTATCTTCTTCTTCTTCTTGTTGTAATTATTATTATTTCAATTTTTTTTTTAGAATAAAGTTATCCAGCTTTTGCCGGAATGTGCAGCTGCACCCCCCCCCCACACACACACAACACACACACCACAACGCACACACAAAGCGCACTTTGAGAATATTCACCAAAAAAATTTAATTAAAATAAAATGACTAAGCGACACTTCTGTACCTACCTAATTACTTTTGTCAACTTAAATTAATTTCAGTTTTAAGTGGAAGGGTACCAACACTTTCTGACACATCTGTGTATACATGACGGATTTACTTTTTAACTGTCAAACCTGGCAACCCCGGCTAGGAGCTCGCCGGGCGGTGTTAGCTTGTAAACAAAACTGCGCATTCTGATATTGAAGAAAATAAAAGGCGCCAAACTTTCTCCTCTGTTTTGTTCGGTGGTTCTTTTTCCTTCACTATTGTTCATTTAACGTGTTATAGGACAGTCGGAAGTATACACGTTCTTACGTCTACTACCGTTTTTAACGCGTTGTTATGGCAACGAATCCGCCTCCGACTCCGGTGTGTGCTGTTGAAGCTAACGACCAGCTGCCGGTGCTCCGACCTGATTAACGTATCACCGTTTTTTCACGCACCGAAAATATCACAGCTACCGTCGCAGTCATGGCCCATTACAGAGTGAGTATGTGGCCGCGTGCTCTCTGTAGCTGTTCGCGGTTTATTTACGATGTTAAATTAGTTCGTAGTTGCTGCTACGAAGCTCGTGCTAACTGGATAGCATCGTAGCAACGTGAAGCTAGGCCGTGAACGCACCACGGGCGTATTCCGTATATATTTTTGTTCTCTGTCGAGTTGTTTTTATCCTTTTATGAACTCACTGGAGTCATTATGTACTTCTGGATAAAAACCAGTAAACATGAGCTGCTAACTCCGAGTCTAAAGTCAAATGTCTGTCTTGTTTCAGGCCTCAGAGTCGAAGAGAGAACAGTTTAGAAGATACCTGGAGAAATCCGGAGTCCTTGACACTATAACGAGCGGTAGGTTTAAGACTTTATTAAACATTTACATCCAAAATCTGGTGTTAATCTCTCTTAGTTTTCACTGTTTCATTTGCATTTCGTTTCTCTTTTGCAGTTTTAGTGGCACTTTATGAAGAGAGTGACAAACCCAACAATGCTCTGGAATATCCTTTACTTGTGTTTGCGGCTGTATGGAGCCTCAGTGTCAGTAAACAGGTGACAATGTGTCTGACATGATGTTTGGAGTTGTTGTCGACTTCTGCTGTAAAATCCTTTTGTATCGGATCAAACCTGGCAACATAGAAGGTGAAAGGCTCAACTGTTCCCATTAAAAGCTCCTTTTCCACATCTATTCTAATGTCAGGTGAGAACAGGTGACAGTGTTACTGGACATAAGAGTCTTCACAGTTCTGGTTCAGTTCAGAGTTTGGTCTATATGGAATGTCATTTAAATCAGTATTAAATCAATAAATCCTGAAATAAATAAATTAGGTATTGTATGTAGAAATATAAATATATTTGTTTATATTTTTATTATTTTAAACTTGCCTACGCTTTTACAGCACCAGCACCTAATCGTATTTTATACAATTACATTTATTCTAATTTATTCTGTATTTTATGCCTTTTACTAGTTTATTTTTGACTGTGCATTATAAGGTGTCCTTGAGTGCCTTGAAAGGCGCTTATAAATGTATAATAATTGTATTTTATTGTTACCTAATTTATTTCAGGATTGATTTCATAGCTCTATTTTTTTTATTTACTTATATATGTAATATTGATTTAGATGGCATTACATTCAGTCTAGACCTGCTCCATTAGAAAAGTGCCTTTAGATAACGTCTGTGATTTGGTGCTGTATGAATAAAGCTTGATCTGACGGGAGAGAAGATTCCTCACTGTGCTGTTGACCAGATATCAGCCAGTGGATATGAAGCTCAGTGTCTCCGGCTCATTTTTAAAATGTCAGCAGTTCAGCTGGAAGCCTTTAGGTGCAAAATATTGTTTACATCTGTCATTTTCGCTGTGAAGAAGCCCATGTAGTCCCTGATCTATTGTGAACGTGTCGTGGAAACAGATTTAAAGATTAAATACGTTGACTTTAACCACCTGCTCAGTTTCATAAAGCTTCACCTGGGTGCAGCTGGTCCAGAGCCGGCCGACGTCGAGGGTCTTCGCATGGAGCTGGCTGATCTTCAACAGAAGTGCAACCTGCTCATGGAGGAGAACAAGGAGCTGAGGAACAGGGTGAGACGCTGCTGAAATATCTGTGTAGGCTGTGTTTGAGTCTGTCCTGCTGTGACCTTTAACCTCTGCTTTAATATTGTCCTCCAGCTGATGCAGTACGAGCCGTCGCCTGAGGAGGGAGCAGCAGAGTAGAGGAGGAGAGGTTTTGTTATTGCAAGAAATAGAAAAGAAAAAGTTAAATAGGATTTTTGTAGAGTATGTAAATATTTATTACATAGTGACGGTTTTACAGTGAGCAGAAAATCACTGTTAATTTTTGTTTTGCAACAAGAAGCAACTTTTGCTTTCTTAAAATAAAAATGTTTTTTCAGCATTTGGTGTCAGAGTCTGTTCACAGTCACTCATCTGAAAGACAGCTCAAAAATTACTAAATATTTTCACACTTTAATTGATATTGACCGATTATCAAGTAAAAAAAATAATTTCATATAAAAGTAATAATCCAGAGGCCTGATGGGAATTTAAAGTCTGATAGATGACAGCACATTAAAGATTGATTTTATTCATGTCATAACAACACAAAGATATTTTCCACAGTGACAGAGGCTCCAGAACTGGAACAGGAGCTGCATTAATTCAGTGTTACTGATTTAAAAGGATCCGGTTGTGTAACAGAGTGTGGCGGCCTAAAACAGCTTTATAGATCTGCGGTTCAGTTTCCATCCCCCCGAATCATTCACACAGAACTGTCCCATGCAACCAAATCATTAACGTCCATCTGGATTCATGTAACAACCTGCAAATGTGAAAAAAACAATGGCCGCCTTTTCAAAGTAAGGACATGTTTGACTTCAGATTGTCTTTATGATTGGAAAAGGCTTCTCTCTGGTTTCAGTGGGATAATCACAGTTTGAACCCAAACATGGACCTGGCTTCTCTATGGAACAGGATCAGGGCCACGTGATTTTTTTATTTTTAGAAATCTGATTTTAATCTCAGAATTATGATTTTTTTTCTCAGAATTTTTGCCTTTTTTCAGAATTCTGAGTTTAAAGTGAGAATTCTAAAAATCTAAAATAAAATCTAAATGTTCACACGGCCCTGATCCTCTTCAGTACTTGAGGGAGAGTTTGTGTTGCCATGTTGGGAGCCACAGTCTGTTTATATCTGCAGATCGGTGGGGGCTCGTCTGCTGCTGGCGCTGCTCGCCGCTGACACCCTGCGGTTGGGGGAAGAGGCGGTGGGGCTGTTACTCTCCCGGCTGTGTCGAGACACGGAGCTCAGCTCCTCCGCAGAGTCGGGGCTGTGGGACCTGCTCGGCCTCTTGATGTCAGATTTGGAGAGCACCCTGGCTCTGGGGCCGACGCAGCTGCTGCGCAGCTTCATGCTGCTGCTGTTGCCGTGGTACGAGTCTCCGCTGTCCGAGCCGTTCCCCTCCACCACCGTGGAGCAGTTCCACGGGGGGGTGACCCTCCGAGACTTCCTCGCTATCCCTGACAGCGTGGTGCAGGAGGAGGTGTCCGCTACAGGGAGGGTGGGGTACTCGGAGCTCGGACACTCCAGGTCTTCGTGGTGGGGGGAGGACTGTTCCTCTGGTTCGTCCTGTTTGTCCGCAGGAGGTGAACGGGTCTCACTGCTGGTGTTGTTGGAGTTGCTGTTCTGCTCCGTGGGGCTCGGCACCCCCTCCTTGCCGTCCTTACGGCCGTCTGGTTTTGGACCAGGGTCCCCCTGTATGGGCATGAAGGCAGAGGAGGCGTTGAGCAGGGGGTAGTTGGGACCGTTGCCCTGCTTCTCCAGCAGCAGAGTGTATCCGCTCGGGGCCGTGGGGATGGTCGTCTTCCGTCCCACTGATGTTCCTGTGCAAACCTGATGCACGACGGAGTTCTTTTTGGACTTGTTGACGTAGTAATCGTCCAGGTCGTCCTTCAGGTGGGGGTAGTAGTCCAGGATGCCCCTCTTCACCCTCTTGTAGCCCAGGTGCATGATCTCCAGGAGGCTGAGGAACAGGGAGATGCAGGCGATGGCCTGCATGAACATCATGAAGACGGTCTTCTCTGTGGGTCTGGAGACGAAGCAGTCCACCACGTTGGGACACGGCTCCCTCTCACACTTGTAGAGAGCGCTCAGGTGGTGTCCGTACAGGATGAACTGCCCCATCATGAAGCTGACCTCCACCACGGAGCGAGTGACGATGTGGGCCACGTACGTGCACAGCAGGGAACCTCTGAGCGGAGCCTTGTTGAGCTTCCCCTGCTCCAGCTGCCTCATCTCCTTCTCAATCCTCCTCCTCACCTCCGCCAGCTCCACGTCCACCGCCTCCAGCTCACGGCGCAGAGCCACCTTCTTACAGTGGCGCTCCTTCTCCAGGGCCCGCAGCTGGTAGATGGCATGACCCATGTAGACGAGGGAGGGCGAGGACACGAAGATCACCTGCAGCACCCAGTACCTGATGAGGGAGATGGGGAAGGCCTGGTCGTAGCAGACGTTCCTGCAGCCCGGCTGCTCCGTGTTGCAGATGAAGTCCGACTGCTCGTCGTTCCACACGTCCTCCGCCGCGACGCCCAGCACCAACATCCGGAAGATGAAGAGGATGGTCAGCCAGATCTTTCCCACCATGGTGGAGTGGATATGAACCTCCTCCAAGATCCCGCCAAGGAAGTTCCAGTCTCCCATGGTTTCACATCAGCAGAGCTGTGATGAGAGAGGGACAAAGTTATGATTGTTGATGTGGCTCCATCAATACTGGACGACTGAAGCTGAACCTGATCTTGATCAATACGTTTTGAAATCGATTAACGACACGTCATATTTTTATAAAAAAACATAAACAGAAAAATCACCTGGTCAGAGCAACACTGTCGAAACAGAGGAAACTTTAAAGCTCTGACACAAACCAGTGGTGGAAAGTAACTAAGTACTATTACTCAAATACTTCAGAGCAGTTTTGAGGTACTTGTACTTTACTTGAGGATTTCCATCTGACGCCACTTCATCACATTTCAGAGGGAAATGTAGTTTCACTTCTTTATATTTGGTGACATCTGGTTAAAGAGTCAGCAGCTACTTTTCATGTTAAACTATGAGTTTTGAAAATAACTCGGCATGTAAGAGGTTAAATTGTCATTCAACGCTCCAGAACTTCAATTTATACTTTAAGTACATTTTCTGATCATCTGTGCTTCTGAGTATTTGCACATCGTGGTTTTGCTTTTACTCAAATTACAGATACTTTAAATACGTGTTGCATCTTTATACAAGCAGTTACACCTGAACCTTCATCCATCACACACTGATCAAACTGCTGCAGCTCTGTTCTGATTCATCACACTGCTTTATACAACCATTTTAACGCTCTATGACCGGTGTTAGAGCAACATAGACAAAGTGGTAAAATTAGTAAAAGATGATCAATAGACATTACCAATCAAATATAAATCAATAATTGAAATCTAGGAAGTTTTTCACAAGACAGTGAAGTTTCCTCACATCAAAGGAAAAACAATGAATTTTACAGTGAAAAGCTGATGTGTGTCTCAATGTGACGCACTTTAAAACATTAAATCTACTGATAAAAGAAGTTGGATATTAACTTTAAGAGTTCACTCACCTTTCATGTTGGATATGAAATGTAATAAAGGCCTTTTTGTTGCTGCTGCTGATGTTAAACTCAGTCCTACAGGAACATCTTCATCTTCTTTTCCCTCCTGTATGAAGTAAATGTTTCCCGCCGCAGAGACTTCAGTCTCTCTGTTGCTGAAAACTGGACAAACACTGATCATCCTACCAGCTCCAGCTGTTAACGACTTATAGCCCGGGAGAGAGAAGCGGTCGATGCTGCAGCAGAGAGAGCGTCAGGTCCTCCGGGTCGTTAGAGGTGAAATGGGTCGTTGCCCGTTTCTGTTTGGATCCAGAGGAACCTGAACTGGTTTGATCCTTTAGATTCATTCAGGACAAACTGGTGCTCAGGGGGGGGGGGGGGGGACTGTAATCTATACAATAAGTGGTATTAATTATAGGTAAGAGAGAGTGATTGGTACACATCCAGTTATTCTTAATGCTAAGCTAACAGCATTAACGCTCTGATGTGTAATTGTTTAAGTGTTTAACTCGTCATCTTATTCTCAACCTGGTTCTGTATCTTATTACATATTTAAAAGTATTTAAAATAAACCTCTGTTCATATCAACAAGTCCACTTGTTTATATAAATACATCCTGTATCTGTTTATTTAAACATTTGTATTTCTGCTATTAATATTTCTTTTTATTTGTTTTTGTTCTCATTTCTCACTTGTAAATGATCTCAATGTGACGTCCTGATTAAATAAAGTATATTATAATAATCATTCAGAGGACAGCAGGTAAAATGTTCAGCATAACTGAAGAATTCAGTTATTATCAGTAATTAATATTCCCTGGGTTTAAATTGAGCGATTTCATTGATGAAAATTCATCAGGAAATCAATAATAAACTTTGTCTCTATTCTTCCTGTAATTAGAAATAAATAAACTATATGAACCTTCCCAGGAGAATTATAATTATTAAAAACAGACATGTAAAATAAAACGACCCATGAGCAGCAGGGACGGAGCCACAGGTCGAAGGTCAGCCTCTCACTGGACGTCATGTGCCCCCTGACCCCGTCTGACCTGCTCAGTTACTGAAGTCAATGTGATCAGGTTTTTTCCCATCATGCATCATTTATCATCTTGGTCCTGTTCTGTGTTTGTAATAAACCCTGTGATTTAACTCTCACCTGCTTTTCTTTAGAAACTAACTCACATCAAAGCTCCACGGTAACACTGTACTTGTTTGATCAATGGTATTTTTTCAATACACCGATCAATGGGACACGTCCGATTTCATACATGGCTGCATCTTCAGCGTGAATCTAATTTCAGTTATTCCTCCCAGCTACTGTTCCATTAAAAGGAAATCAATGGACTCGACTGACCGGCTGTGCTGCCGTTTTCCAAGCTGACGAGCGCAGACTGAGGTTCCTCCCTCTCATGACGCTGAAGCTGCTGGACATCCGAACGTCCGAGGAGGAACCTGAATCACTCCTGAGGCTTCGTTTCTGCTGACCATCCTTTTCCTGTGGTATTTCCTCTTCACTTTATTAGATCTAAATCTTTACTTTTATTCCCCTGTAGGGAAGGCGGCCTCGAAAATCTTTCTCCTCTTTGAACTGCAATAACTTGGACATACTTTCACCTGGAGGCGCCATTTAAACTTTAAACTGATCACAAGACTTCCAGTCATTAAACTTCTATACAGCTTTTTGATATCTCAGACAGTTTCTGAGTTTATAATTGGTGTGTATTGCATGAGCTAGAGTGGAGAGAGGCGCTTCAGCTCGTCTAAAAACTTCTTTGACTCGACCTCACGGCCACAAACGTCACTCTCTGCACATCATTTCTTCACAGAACGTAGGAACGTCTTTCAGACGATGCGTTTACCAAAACACAGCGACTTGCAGAGTTTGCAGTGAGCCTCAGTGCGATGGGAGAAACATCCGACTGCCTCAGAGACTTCAATGCAAATTCAGCAGCTTATTTCCAGAGAGATTTTTACTCGCTCGTTTCCACATTTCCATATTAGAAACACCAGAATGAGCAGGAGTGTGAAGGGAGGTCTGGTGGCGCTCATGGAGTAATAATCTTGCTGATGTCATGACTTTGTGGGGTGAGTGCTGGTTTTGGATTGGCATCAGTTTTTCCTCGTCTTCACATGGAGCCTGGTTTGGTTTGTGTTCAACACTGAGCTGAACGAATCACCCCGAGCTGACCGCGGCGCACAGCATCCACAAACTGAAGCCACGCGCTGTTTCCTTATACTGAACATTATCAATTTATTACTCAAAATAACAGTTTCTTCCCTCTAATGGTAGAAGATTAGGAGGATAAAACATGCAGTGACAAGATTCATTCAGAAAATCTATCAACACAGTCGTGTAAACAGCGATGACAGACGTCTGCTCCTCCGCTCAGACGCCATTTTAGAAGAAATGTTCCAATATGAAATACCTTTAGAAAAAGGTCTACTGACAGAAAACACCACAAAACTAAAACAGATCAATGTACAGTTCAAACAGCTCGTGGTTAAAGTCACTGGTCGACAACATTTTAACACTTGTAAAGCACCAAGCAGCATTTCTGTGAATTTAATCCTCCACTCAACAACTGCCACACAGACCGTAGTCCTTACTCTTCTGCAGGCAGCCACGAGTTTCATTTATAATATAAAAACCACCGACTCAAAGTGACTTGAAGCTGAATTCATCACAGTGAACATCATGTCTGCTTCCATCTGTCTCCGCTGCAGCTCTGTGCTTTTCCATTCAGTCGTCACCTACAGCTCAAACACCTGCGATGATTCTGTAACCGATAAGAGTCGAAGATTATCTCGATAACGTTCGACGTGATGGATCATCTCCAGCAGGTTCCCACTTGATTCTTGTGGAGAAAAACGAGCGATCCACACTTGTGATGTAGAAAGTCTATTACGTGTTGGCATGTGATAAAGACACAGAAATGCTGCTCTCGACCGGATTCCTTTTAAAATACTGGATGTTCTTTCTTTGCAAAAAACGGGTGCATAGGGTTTAAAAAACAAAGTCATCAGTAACTGTATATAAAAAAAGAGAGATTATTCCTGGCCGACTACCACTGAACACAGAAACCGCCGACTGTCACGTTCCTATCAGGAAATATCACCAAAACAATTTTATAAAAACAAGCAAAGGACCAGCGTTGTTCTTAAACAAGCTCTCTACAAATGATTCAGTGGACGTTACATTCATGTCAAAAACAAATGACCAGCTCGGGTCCATCTGACTGAACGACGGGTCAGGGGGAGGGAGGGGGGCAGACACTTTCTAGCGTCCTCCTGACTTGCGTCCGGCCCAGGACCGGGACCGAGAGCGCGAGCGAGAGCGTGATCTTGATACAGACCGGGATCTGGAGTGGGAGGGGGAGTGTGTCCGTCGTACCTCCTCCTCGGTGTAGTGGGAGGTCGAAGGCGGGTTGACGTTCTCTCTCGGAGACGCAGATCTGGAGCGCGATCTGGATCTGCCTCTGGACTCTCTCCGAGGCCTCTGTCTGTACCTGAGGACAAACAGGGAGACGGATAAAGACTGTACTGTCATACTCTTCTCACAAAGCCCTGGGTCGTCTTATATTAAAGACTATACAATATCAGATGTTCTCTCTGAAAGGAGAGAGTGCCTGTGTAACTGCAGCCTTTCACACTGTTGCATTATGGGTTGTTTGTAGCCTTAATGTTGCTTTACAGTGAGTCAAAAGACAGAGACAGAGACAGAGAGTGAGAGAGAGAGAGAGAGAGAGAGGGAGAGAGAGAGAGGGAGAGAGAGACAGAGAGACAGAGAGAGAGACAGAGAGAGAGACAGAGAGAGACAGAGAGAGAGAGACAGAGAGAGAGAGAGAGAGAGAGAGACAGAGAGAGAGAGACAGAGAGAGAGACAGAGAGAGAGACAGAGAGAGAGAGTGAGAGAGAGAGAGAGGGAGGAAAAGAGAGAGACAGAGAGAGAGAGAGAGACAGGGAGAGAGAGACAGAGAGAGAGACGGGGAGAGAGAGACAGGGAGGTCTTGTAGTTTGTGTAGGTGTACCTAATAAAGTGGCCACTGAGTGAACATGTAAAGAGAGGTGTTGTACCTGTCGTCCTCACGGCTCCGGCTCCGCCCTCTTCCATACACGCGACCACGAGATCTGAGGACAGACACCAGGAGGTTATTTTCTCCTTCAGAGAAGAATCTAAATGAAACGACTGTGAAGAAGTTTTTGTCGCCGGGAGAGAAACTCACTCTCGAGGACTCTCAGACCGTCTGCGGCGGCGATCGTAAGACGGGCTGCGTGATCTGTATCTGTCGTAGCTGCGGCTGCGAGAACGTCTGCGGCGGCCGTCTCGATCGTAGTCGTCGTATCGGGAGGATCTGCCCGGAGAATGTCGTTCCTTTGCCTTCATCTGGTTCGGTGCTGGAGAGAAGAAGCGGTGAGGAGGAAGAAGCTTTAGATCCTCACATCAGTGTGAGAGCTGCTGTTTGTTTTCATTGGTTTGTGCAGCAGTTGATTCTTTCCATCAAACAGTTTGACTGCTGCAGTTAAACATGCATCATACATCACACATGCATCAGCAGATTATATATAAACATATAGAAATAACAGTGAATCACAGACAGAACAATCAAAGTTTCAACCTGTGATTGGACGTTTCTCGCACCCTGGGAGTCGTAGTTACCTTCTCCCCCAAAAACTTTATGTGCACAGACTCGTACCTTCCACCTCTTTCTACACAAGTCAATGACTGTTCTAATGTTTTTACACATCAGTGTATATCGCTTCACTTATGGATCATCGTCTCTCTGGTGTGCAGGTTGTTTCAGGGTGAACTTGACCTTCCCTGTGTCACACTGTAAAAGACGCATTTTTACCATAACTCCAGATTCACTTACACGTACAACCCAAAGAAATAACCCCCCCCCCCCAGGTTTAAAAGCCACAGCACTGTCTTTAAATGAGGTCGTATTTCTAGGGCACTTCTTTTAAAATAGTGTCGAGTCTCCTATCTGATTTTATGATTCAAATATTTTTTAGTTTGTATTCTTTTTAAATGCTATTTAATGTTGTATTCTTAATGTATTTCTTTGCCTCTGTGAAGCACTTTGGATCGCCATGTGTCTGAATGCTGCTGGAGAAATAAACTTGCTGCCAAAAGGGAACACACAGTAAATTTTACATCTTTTTCTACCACTGACGGTCAAATTTAATTTGAATCCACAGCAAAAACACTTGAAGGCAGATGCAGTGTTTGATAAAAACACTTACTCTTTCTGTCTCCCTGGGCAAACTGGATCTCAATCTGCCGGCCGCAGACCCACTTCCTGTCCAGGCTGTGGAGAGCGTCCTCCGCATCACGCACATCCTCAAATATACTGAGTGGTTAAGGGTTTTATTTGCTCTCATTTTTGATGAAGGCCACACAAAAGTTCATAAATGTTTTACTCTCAAACAATAAAAACTATTTCCTGTCGCGTAAAAACATTAATAAATTCCAGTTTTCATGAATTCCCCCTTTAAGTGACATCATCAAACGTTTAGCTCTTAATTCTTACATTGTTCACACCCTCGTTTTATATTCATGGTAAAGGGAAGGAGGGATTCATCAAACATTTTCTTTCATTTGTGTGACCTGATTTGTAAATTGAAAATGACAAGGAATTATATATAGATTAATTACATATAGATTAATTACATATAGATTACTTCATACTGAAAGATAAATGAAAAACAATAACAACAACAACAACAAACAAACAGACGCTCAGTAGATCTTTGTAGAGATAAAAGATGAAGCAAGCTTCAGTCTGAGGGATCAGGACAATAAATATATAAACAAATCAAACACATAAATACTTTAAATAGTTTTGATCAAAATTAAAAAGTCATCGATATCACAGGGACAGCTGATTTTGGTGTCATGTCAGATTCTTGGATTTGTCTTGGGAGGATACAAAATAATTCAGACTCGTTACCTTTGCTTGACTTTGAACTTCATCTTGATCTTTACATTCTTTTATCGACTCCCAGAGAGACTCGGGTTTCCTGCTCGACTTTTAAACCTCTTTTTCTTTTCCCCATTCTTTGCCGCCATATCCAAGCTTTGTCTCCGTTCCCTTTTCCTCTTCATGCTTTACTTTCTCTTTTCAACCTTTTCCCTCCCTCTGATCCTGAAGGTCTGTGTGACTTGTCTTTACAGCTACTCTATACAGGTCTTTGTTACTCTTTGTGGCCGGTTCCACAACTGGATGCTTTTACATTTTCTGAAGCAATAACAGAGAAATATGTGTGTTAGATATTCAATCAAATTATGTGCAAGAAAAATACATTATCAAAGCATATCTTCTCTGCTGAAAGAAAGTGTAAATCACTTGTTAGAAGAGCAGAGAACACAGTGAAAACTCATTGGGAAAGGATATTGAATGTATGCAAATCCTCTTGGTTGACGTGTATAGAAGTCAAGTGGGATGTAGACATCTACTATCGGCCCATAGCGGCCAAACTCACGCCGCAAATCCTCAGGCCTGAACACCGTAAATACAATTATGACTCAACTGACCATCAAGGGCAACTCTACCTACATCATCAACCAGTAACAACAGCTGGGAGAGCAGCTGGTGAGAGAGCTAAAGGGACAGTTCACCCAGAAGCACAATAAGACCTTTTCTTTTTGTCTTACCTGGAGAACGATCCACCTGTCCACAGAGTTTCTGTGTTATTTGTTTCTGGATTTTAGTGCTGCTATCTGTTGCTAACTAGGGCTGGAAAATTTAAAAAAAATAATAATTGCGATTTTAATTTGAATGATCGATCTTTTGACTCTTTACAAATTACACAAAAAGTTTATTTTAGGTTAACATTAACATGGCCGACAGCTAGCTGTGTTAGCCGCTCTCAGGCTACGTCCATACGTTCACTCTAAAACATCACTTTTCCTACATTTCCTCCTGCCATCCACACAACTATTTTGAAAACTCTGGGGTTGCGTTTTATTTTGAAAACTCTGGGGTTGTGTTTTGTTTTTTGGAAACTTTGGGATTGTGTTTTATTTTGAAAACTCCGGGGTTGTGTTTTATTTTGAAAACCTTCAGAGGATTTACTGCAGAGGAGACAAGCTACTTCCTGTTTACAACAGCTCGCACATGCTCAGTGCAGTGAAAGGTCATGTATGTGTGTTCTCTGGTGTTAATCTGGATGGAGATCATTTTGGTTTTAAAACTCAGTAATGTGGACGTAGCCTTAGTCACTACAGTCCTTTAACTGCGATGTGAGTAGTTACAGTCTTTGAGGAGACACTGCAGTTTTCAGGACTCAGGTCCAGACTCAGGATGGTTCTCTGGCTCTGGATATTCCACAGCAGATCTAGAAATCACATCTACAACAGGGACGGACTGAAAAAACCTGAGCTCAGTTTGTGTTTGTTGAGGAGATATTATCTCTGACTACGAGACGTGAAACCGTGGAAGTCGACTGAACAGTTTGTGGATTCTACTTGACTCAGTCTGTCCCTGCTGAGGAGCTAACAGCAGCTAACAGCTGTCTGCAGATATCAGGCTGATGTGTTGTCAATAACAAACAGCGCAGATGAATCAGTGCTCGTTACTATGAATGTAGAAGAAATTTAAGCTCCCAGAATAAATTCTGAGCACAGTATTTATATGTAACTGAATCATGAAGAAATGAGAATCTGGATGTTGTGAATGGATATCCAGCCCTACTGCTAACCCTGCACAGAGAGCCTCAGGAGCTGTTTGTGTTCCAGTATTATTGTTGTTGTGAATCAGTTCTACCGTGTTTCTGGTGAACTGCCCCTTAATGAAAGGCAACACTTTTTTGTTAACATGCAATTCAATGTGAAAACCTACCAACAAGTTAAAAAACTGACAGAAGCAGGTACAGGATTGTTGCTTCATTCAGGTTTACATTAAAATCAAAAGTAAAGGCTCAACTGTTCAGCAAATAAAAATGACTCCTGTGTGAAATGTAGAGGTCACCACGATGAGGAGAAAACCTACAGGTCAACATGATTTTCCCAGAATCCATATCACACTGTACTGATCGACTTTGGGCAGCGGTTGTTCACATGTAATTAATTATACAAAAAATTAACATATTTAAAACGCACTATGACATAATGTTATTATAATCAGCTTATATGTTCTTGACCTTTTCGGCACTTTTGTTATGACACAAGGAATCACATCATTTTGTTTTATTATGTTGTAGTTTGTCCCATTTCCCTCATTTTTAACTTTATGAATTGACTATTTTACAGTTACAACATTAATTAAGAGTCACAACATACACCTTCATTTCTTCACATTTACTTCTACAGCACTCTATAAGTTAAAGTAAAGCCTCATAAATTTTCTTTATATGTTAACGTAACAGTTCATGAATATTTACGTGACCAAATAAGATTTAACGACTTTAATTTTTTCATATTTTAAAGTGTTGAACACACTTATGCGTCGATATTTTTCATGCACAAAACGAAATGAAATGGAACATCTAAATATTTCTTCCACAACTGCCCATCACACACGAACGTTTTCTTTACTGTTAACTAACGTTAACTGTAAAATAATCAGTTATCTGCAGTACAAATAGAATAAAAACAAGTAATCAAAATAAACTGAAATAACGGTTTGTAACCCAACGTTAGCCGGAGTAACGGGACACAGTCTACCAGTAAATACAACCCGGTTTTTCTGCATTTTAAACGTATTTTAGGCGCAAACTGCTTCATATACTCAGTGGAGTATTGTTTAAAGCTAACCTCAGCTCGCTCTGTTAGCTCGTTTACTAACGTGAAAACGTGCAACACAATCTCCGTGCAAACAAAGAAAGGCTCTCAGTCAAATAAAGTCCTAACAAAGACATGTTATGATCTCAACTGTTGTTTTAGTTTCAATATTTATGAGAGAAATGTGAGAGAAATGTTGTGCAAGACGGTTTAACTTCAGGCTATGTGCTAGCTGCTAGGCTAACTCAGATAGCCATGGTTAAAAGGAGTTAGTTCAAGTTAGTTATGATGCATGATCAGTGGCGGTAACCGCGTCCGGATGCGGACTCACCTGGACTCATCGGCGATGTTTCTGACGAACAAAGACGTGTTTGGAGGCCTCATGTATCTGGCCATAAAGTTTAACCCACACAGTAGGAGAAAATGTTGGCTGTGGAAAAACCAACAACGAGAAAATGTACTGGGCATGCGCACTTACAAGGCGCCTTCTGCTGGTTCTTCTTCTTTTGATTTGACTGGCGGTCCGGAAACAATCTTGGAGTTGCATTACCTCCGCCTACCGGACTGGACGCGGAACGAACGAACGAATGGATGAACAAACAAACAAACAAACAAACAAACAAACAAACAAACAAACAAACAAACAAACAAACAAACAAACAAACAAATAAATACATTGTACTCACAATAACAATAATAATAATAATAACTAAATTCGCTCTTTTAACCATGTTACCTTCAGGTACTTATTTAGGTGACTATTTTTTACCCATGCTGCAGTTGATTTCTTGCAATATTCACCAAATTTTCTCAGGTGCAATACTATATTTATATATTATTTATTAATGTGCAATATGAGACGTACCCAACTCATATCTGATTCCAGTCTGGTGTGTCCTATCCTGGGACGGATGATGACAGATGCCTCTTCCTTGTGATTCCTGTCCAGCCTTTGTCCTAAATCCACATTTGCTATTATAGCAAATTATAAAGATGTCTTACTGTGTTGTTTATGTCCCAGAATTCTTTCCAAACTTTTGGCATTTGTCTTTTTATGACTGTTTAACCTTCAGCTTCACTCCGCTCAGTCTTCATGTTTGTGATTTGAGTGATTGTTTGGCTGCTACATCAACATTGTCATTTCCTTCTTCTTCTTCATGAGCAGGAACCCAAACAAAGTAAACCATCACACTCTTATTGTGCTGTCTGTATATTAAATGTCTGTTATATGTTAGTCTGTCTTTTAATTGAATTTTATTTATTTGTATTTATTTATCTCTCTATTTATTTATCTTAAGCTGTTTTACTGGTATGGCCTTTTACTCTATATTCACTTTCTGGACTGTTTTCCTACTAACACTTTTATTTCTGGTTATTTATTTTATTTCTACTTTTATTTCTTTTTTTGTTTTACTCACTTTACATCTCTGCAGTATTTTATTTTTATTTTTTATCACTCTATTGTTATCTTTACTGGCAGTCTTTAGTGTTTCCTCAGTTCCTGTAATTATTGTCTTATTTTTATTGTTTTTATTTATGACTTGGCCATTTGTGTGTGTGTGTGTGTGTGTGTGTGGGGTGTGTGTGGGGTGTGTGTGTGGGGTGTGTGTGGGGTGTGTGTGTGGGGTGTGTGTGGGGTGTGTGTGTGGGGTGTGTGTGGGGTGTGTGTGTGGGGTGTGTGTGGGGTGTGTGTGTGGGGTGTGTGTGGGGTGTGTGTGTGGGGTGTGTGTGGGGTGTGTGTGTGGGGTGTGTGTGGGGTGTGTGTGTGGGGTGTGTGTGGGGTGTGTGTGTGGGGTGTGTGTGGGGTGTGTGTGTGGGGTGTGTGTGGGGTGTGTGTGTGGGGTGTGTGTGGGGTGTGTGTGTGGGGTGTGTGTGGGGTGTGTGTGTGGGGTGTGTGTGGGGTGTGTGTGTGGGGTGTGTGTGTGTGTGTGTGTGGGGTTGTTTTTTTTTATTACTTTTATTCTGTAAAGCACTATGTGTTACATTGCTTGTATCAGAAGGGCTGTACAATTACAGTCTGATTGATTGATTGATTGATTGATTGATTATGTATTAAAGGCCTTTTATACAGTATGTCTGTCTCCAGTAGCCGGTGGTCTTATATTTTGTCCATGCAGCAGACTGAATAAAACAAACATGTTGGTTCATTTAAATCATTCAAATTTATTCAGTTTTATTCATAATTTCCTGATGTCTGAGAAGGGCTGAGAGATCTGCTGATTAGACTCGTTTACTTCTGCTGATGAAGGTCAAAGATTCAGCAGTGATGGTCTGCAGCAGTGACGAAGCAGAGACACAAATAAACATGATTCACATTCTGACCCTGAATCCTTCGTCTTCACAGCAGCTTTTAAAAGAACCAAAGACACAAACCTCGACCATGTCGTCGCCCTGGATCTCTCGGACAGAGGTGAACTTATCGGTCTGAGCGATCAGCTTCCCGCCCTCCTCTCTGACAGTGCACTGCTCAGGAACAAAGACATGGACAGAGGACGATGAACAGAAAGCGTTGCTACTGTTGAAGCTAAAATATGTTTATTACACAAATATCCTGAAGATTTTCCAGCAAAACCAAATAATTGCAGGAGACTGAGAGGAAGAAAACGAAATCCATCCATCCATCCTCAGTCTGTCTGGATAGATCTTGCAGGTATCACTGCAAACATTTTTTGGTAATTGTTTCCTCATGAATCTGATTCTTTCAGCTTCAGTTGCACGAGGAAACACCGAGTCAAATCTCTGCACCGCTGTCACCATCATTTAAAAGATGCTCTTTAGAAACTGGCATCATCAGCTCACATGAAACTCTCCTGTCTTCACCTCTGCCTTTCTACTGTGCATGCAGCGTCTGAGTCTCGGATCACCTTGAACTTCCTGCCGTCCACAGACGTCACCTCCGACTCTTTCCCGATGCTGAACGAATAGACTTGGGTGCAGACGGGAGTCTTCATCGTGCAGGTGAAGTCTTTGCCGTTCTGCTCGATCACTATCACCGGTTTCACCTCCTTACGCATCTTCACAATCATTTCAGGTGCACCTTGAAATCATATTAATAATAATTGATGTCTGCTACAGTTCATAGACAAATAAATCCTGCAATTTATTCAATATTTACCGGCTAATTTCAGGAACTCCTCCAGGTTTTCCTCAGAATAAACCTTCCAGGTGCCGTTGAAGTCCATAACTAACCTGCTGCGTGTGTCGCCTGAGGATGTATGTTGTTCTTGTTCTTGTCAAATCCCATCACGTCCTGCTGGTTGGCAGGTCGGGGACTTCAAACTCCCTGTTATTTAGACTGGAATTCCCAATGAGAAACAGACACAGCTTCCTGTTGGTCCCTACTCAGGCCGTGGTGTCACATCTTTAAAGACCAGCTCCACACATCAATAGATCAAGTATTGTTGTTGTACAGGTGGTTTATATTTTCCCCCCTTTTCTCTCTTCCAGCTACACTATGTGTTTCATTTCTACAAATCCAACAAAACTAGAACCACCTCCTCGTGGTCGTATCCCTCCGCCACTCAGACTAGTTCCAGGTCACATCCCTGTTTATCCAGATAGAGATATCAGAGAGAATATGAAGCATTCATGTGAGAGGTTCTCATTATTACTGAAGAAGTCTTGAGTAATGTCTAAAAGGTGTTTGCTGGGGTCACACTGACCTCTGACCTTTGACCACCAAAATCTAATAATTTCGTCCTTAAGTCCAGGTGAATGTTCGTGCCATATTTGAGGAAGTTCCTTCAAGGTGTTTCTGAGACGGACTGTCGACGGCTGAATAATAAATGCAGATTCTTTCTGAACATCGACTGGGACAAACCTTTATTTCAGACAGGATTTAAAGCTTTTTCTTCATTTGACAAACATTCATGAATACGACACTTTTTTTTTCCAAGATACAAAAATACTTCAACTTGCAAACAAACACAAAACGCAAAAACATTTTAAGGCAAACGTTCGGCAGCTGAAGCTCAGGCAGAGCTGATCTCTTTAACCTCCAGTGAAACACCCTGTTTATTTAACGTCACTGTGGAAATGTTACTGAAGCTGTTGGCAGTTAAAACACTTTGGCTTGTAAGCAGTCACATCACAGACAGTCACTGTGCAGCACACTGAGGACAGAGGGCGTCTGTTAACAGGAGCCATGTTGCAGTCCCTGAGAAAACACTGAGCGGTCATGCAGCGACAGATAAACAGTGCGAAGCTTCTTCACAGATGTCGGTCCAACAATATCTGCAGCTTTGACTTTTAAGAAGCTAATTTAACATTCTTGAATTAGCAGAATGGTGTTTTCTATCCAAACAAACTGAGTCGACTTCAGTATTTTACACTTGATATTATGGCCTGTCAGTAAGGAGTTTTAAGGCATTTACCAACATTGATATTAGAGTTCAAAAATGAAACAACACACAAACAATCATTAATCAAGAAGTCATTAACGTTGGTTTAGTTTTTTAGATATTTACAGAGCAGCACTTTATAGTTAAAGAGTCTGTGTGTAGGTACAGCTGTGCTTTGAGCTACATGCTAATGTCAGGATGCTAACATGCTCACAATGACAATGTTAACGCGCTGATGCCAAGCAGGTAAAATGTGCACCGTCCTCATATTAGTTTAGGCTGTTAGCATGCTAACATTTGCTAATTAGCACAGAAGCTAAGGCTGATAGGAATGAGATTAGATATTTGGTCAGAAACCGAGGGGACAAATTGATCGTTTGACCTGAAGGGGATGCTGGGTAAAAAGTTAAAGGTGATTACGGTTCATCCTGAGGGGAACATGCATGTCTGAACCAAATTTCATGACAGTGGTTTTTCAGATATTTCACTTAAAAGCACAAATGTGAACCTCATGGTGGCACGAAAGGAAACGTCAGAGGATCACCAAAGTGAGAGAGATTCATCCTCTGGGGACCATGAATGTTTGTACAAACTTTCATGGCAGTTTGTCCAGTAAGATTTTTCAGTCTGGATCAAATTGTTGACAGACACATGAACTCAAACATATCTTAAAAACGCCTGTGACGTTGTTTGCTGTTGCCTTTCTGACATATCGTTCGGGCTCTACTTTACGGCGTAGTTATACTGTGCTTTGAGGTGGGTAAACTCCACCCGTCTGGTGCTTCAAGTTTGTTAAAAGAAGTGCTCTGTCTTTGTTGTGGGACTTGTTGCAGATCTGCATGTTGAGACAAAATGTGGCTCATTCCAGTCACATGATCCTGAAGCAGCAGACGGCCGGTGGAGCCTGCTTTGGTAGTAACTATGATAAAATCATAAGTTGTGAAAAAGACAAAATCCAAAATCCCATATCACAAGATAAAAAATAATACTGAAATATAAATATGAAGCTTTGCTACGACTTCCATCGAGTCAGATCACGAGTGATGACGAGAAAACATCCTTCACTTTCAAGTACTGTATGTTTGTGCTTCATCATGACAGGAAGGAGTCCCCCTCCCCCGCCCCCTCCTGGTTTGGACCCGGGTCACTGAGGCAGCGTGATAGCTTCAGTTGCTCCTGCTCCTCCTGATCGTCTGGAGCCTTCGCCTTCAGCTCCATGTCGCCTTCAGCTCGCGGCGTGCTGCTCTGATTGGGCCGCGGCTGAGACTCGTTCAACAGGCTGACGGCATCAGGAGGGCGGGGCTGAGGCCGAGAGTCCCGCCCCCTCGGGCTCTCACCGTCATCGTAGGTGTAAACCTGGTGTTCTGGAAAGCAGAGATAATGTTTTAATGTATTAGAGCTTTAGCGTCTACAGGCGTCTTTATTTAGTTTCTCTGGCAAGTCGTGGAAAAAGTCAAAGTGCCACAATTTTAAAATACTCAGTTACAAGTAAAGTCCTATTTTACAAATCCTAATACACAGAGCTGGAAGGAAATCTATTAAATTAAGTAAAAATCTTCCCTTAAAGGCCTTTTACATATTTGATCCATTTGGTCCAAAGTATAATAAACTCAGTTTTCCAAAGGTAATACAGTTCCTGAAAAGATCAGTGTCAAATCCACTTTTTAGTGTTTGTGAAACTCGAGCCAGAATCACTGGACAGTCCCAGAATACACGCCACTGGTTTGTTTCCTGTCTCCAACACTTCATATCTTCCCGTAACGTGTGTTTCCTGTTTTGGTGTAATAAAGACATGAATAATACGTTCCCACCCAAACTCCCGCCATCATCAGAGTTGGTGCATTTCCACTGGAGTTTACACACATCGATCAATCCTCATTGATATTGTACGGTTGATCTCTTTCCCATTTGTCCTGTATGTTTTCTAAAGTGTTTAAAGTTCTGCTTTTAAAATCCTTTTCTTCTTCAGTTATGTTCAACGTCCTGTTTTCAACCAGAAATACGTCCAGAGTGAAAACTCTGTTTTCTCATGAGCCTTGACTCACATGAGCAGATGTATGTTGATGAGAACCATTACAGACCTGGTTCGAAGCAGACTTTTCTCACTGGTGGAGTTTCCTGACGGTTTGCAGGAACCGTGAGGTAGTGACTCATCTGTGGACGGGACGTGACAGAGTGAGGAAGCACTTTAATTCAGAGCAGGTGGAGGTTGAACGATCTGGACACGAGCTGAAGCTCGTGTCCAGATCGTTCAACCATTCATGTTAGCAACAGCAGAATCAACCTATAATGTGCGGTCCATGTAGGAAACTCACCCTCCTCTCCATCTCCACCCTCTGCTTCCTGAAGCGAACCTCACTCACATTGTCCTCAAACGGGTCGATCATCAGGTCGTGTCTGCTGTAGGAGCGAAGCTGAGGAGCAGAGACATCAACACGAGCGTCAGAAAGTTCAGACACATCAGGAAATGAGTCCTGAACTCTTCCTGAACTCCTCCCTCACCCTCTGTCTGGTGTTCTGCAGGTTCACTCGCAGGATCTTCCTGATCTCTTGCTCACGGCTCTTGGAGATGCTCGGTATCGCTCGCTGTCTGACCGGACCTTTAGGCTGGATGTTCCTGCAGAGACACACATAACATATCATTAATGTCTTAATACACAGAGACAGGAAGATTACTTCTAATAAAACCAACAAATTATCTCATAATCTTCTTTTATTAAGAGCCTTTCTTTGAGCTTTTAACTGCTCTGAAGCACAAAAGGAGCCTGAATCAGTGGTTTGGCTTCTGATGAATTATTATTAATTATTTGAACACTTTTTAAAAGCAACAGAGTTCAAATTATTAAGTAATTCATAAGAAAGGAAAAGAAAAACAATCAGGTCTATAAAGATAAATATAATTTTGTGCAGCATAAATGTTTTTGGCAGCTCCTCACCTGTAAAGTTGAGATCCACTGACGCATATTAGACTTTAAGTTTGGTTCTTTATTTTAGAATAAACAGGGACTCACTGCATGGAGACGGAGGACACGATGGCGGGCAGCTTGGCGGCGCTCCCGCTCTCCACCAGCATCATGGCCTGTTTCATCTCCATCTTGTTGTAGAAGGAGATGAGCTGCGGCTCGGTGGAGCGCTCGCCGGCGATCAGCCACCTCTTCACGTAGGCCTTGTTGAAGCGGTTGAGCCTGAGCACAGAGGACATTCACCGGTCATGAAGGTGTTTCTGTTTTACAGAAGGTGCAGATGTTTACACTCTCCATCAGCCCCGCCCACCTTCATGAGGCTGCTTCAAACAAACACAAAGAGTGGGCGGGTGTTCAGTCTGACCAGGTCCAGAATTTGGATTTTGTGGTTTCTTACATTTACATCAGCAGGATTTTAATTTAGCAAAACGACTTCCTGTCACTAAACCATCACAGCTGCAGGATGAGGCTGATTTCTGCTGGATCACATTCTGTTAAAATAAATTAACAATATCTTTTCATAACAGCCTTAAATGACTATATATGATATTAGTAGGTTTCCATTTAATTTACAGCCTCTTTACACAGTTCTCAGCAGATAGAACTGGCTTTGAAATGGACACGAGGGACATTTCTCTGCTCCATTCTGGTGCTTTGTAAATGTTCAACAGATTCAGAGTGAACAGTGAACTTCTCTCTCTCTCTGTACATGTGTGTGTTAAACACTACAACCATCCTAATAACAGTGATATACAGACGCCACAGAGAGGGAATCCCTCGGTAACGGTGAGGAGGCGGAGCATCGTACTTGTCTTTCCAGTGATGGTGTCCATAGTGTCCACAGATGTCTTCAATCCCCGTGAGGAGATGATCCAGGAACTAAAGACAAAATGAGTTTTTATAGTCACAAAAAAAAAACATAATAAAAAGGAGGAAATTCCTCTTTTCATAAAAGGATCTTTCACTGGTTCTAAAACAGTTGAAAAAGCCCAAAATCACCAGATGTTTGAACTTAATTGTTTTGTAATTAAAGTCCTGTTTTATGTGTTGATGTCACCATGACATAAAAAATGTTAATGACAAAAACTTTATTACTAGACGCCAAATTAATTCACCAAGCAAACAAAAACCTTTCTTTTTAAATGTTGGTTTTTAAGGTTGACACATCACCTGTGTTTACATCGTCATGGTGACGGTAATTCACCACCACACATCTCACCTGTGTGTGAATCTCCTCGTTAATTGACCCTTTGCTCTCCTTCTTCTTCTTCACTGCCAGGAGCTCCACCAGAGGCCGGATGGTCATCCCCTGAGGACAGACACTGGAGTGAAGCAGTGCAGCAGCTTTAACACACCTGAGCTGATGAGTGCAGGTTGGTGCGGCTCCTCCCCGTCACCACCAGAGGGCAGTAAACACCATGTGTTACTTTGTATGGAAGAACAAACATGACTGAACAGGAAAAATAAATGGATGTAAAAAAATAATTATCGTTTATGGTAACTTATTTCTGTATAAAGTCATTTACATTAATCACTTCTTAAAGCTTATTTAACTAATTAGCCTGAATTAATGTTGTTTTTATGTTTGACGTCTTATCATTTTTATTATATCTCGTTTATTTTAATCCCTGTATCTTTGTTTTTATCGTTTTGTGTGAAACACTTTGTAACATTGACTTTGAGAGGCGTTATACAAAATAATTTTTCTCTTCTTATAACACTAATAATAATAATAATAATAATAATAATAATAATAATAATAATAATAATAATAATAATAATAATATGGAAACCCTTACATATTGTTCAGGTCAAATTTAACACGTTCTGACATTTGACAGCAGGAAAAATACCATAAATGTCTTTTATGACTTTTCCTAAAGTGACCCAAAATACACCAAAATGAAAATATTATAATATTTTATACTTTTGTTCAGGTGCTGTGAATGTTTGTACATTGAGGCTGTTCAGGTCAAATCTGAGCCGTATCTATTGAAGTGGATTGTAGATCCACAGATATTAGATCTGTGCGTCAGATGAAGGAACATGGAGGTTTTAGGGGATCTTGAAACTGTGAAACTGTACATGCCCTGTCTGTGTGTATTTGTTATGGGACAGTGGTGACAGAGTTCAAGGGGGACCTCGACACTGTCACCACAACTGTCTGTGTTCCCGCCACATCTGCCCAGGTTCCCCCAGAGACAGGCACCTGCTGGTCTCTGAAGGGTCATGGGGGATCTGGAAACAGTGACAGAGTCAAACAGCATAGGAGTGATCATATATGGTGCACATAAGGAACAGAGGTCACACAGAGGTCAGAGGGCGCCTCGACACAGACACCAGATCTGCACCTGCACACGGTGCAGTAGATGTTTTTCTACAAAAACCAGTGATGAAAAGCTAAAGAATTCTCTCTCCCTGCTCCGACACATTAATGAAGGATTAATCCTCCATGTGTGAATGTCAGAGAGGCTGTTTATACTTTCTATGATCTGTAGTTCAAGGTTCACTACAGACACTTATCATGAGGGAGCTCTTACTGTGGAGGCAGAAACATGAACAGTATGTGAGGGTTAATCAATTTGTCCATTTTCTTGATTTATTTTCTAAAATATTTCATCTTAAGCATCTTTATGCCAAGATTTAGATTCTATGAAACGAATGTCGTACCCCTTTTCTTCAGTATTATATGAATAAACGTGACGTACTGGAGTTCAGTTCTACTTTCTCTCACCTGCACAAACACAGTGAAGAAGATGACGGTGATGATGGCGGTGAGGAACATGTTCTTCAACTTGCTGTTGGTCAGCAGGAAGCCCAGAGAGAAGGCGATGGCACCTCGCAGGCCACCGTAGGCCACGATGAACTGGTCCTTCTTGGTCAACTTGACAATACGGAATTTATTGATGACGTAGGTGAGACCGATGACGCCTGACACACAGGAAACAACAGGGTGAAGTTAAGAAAACTTAACTTACATGAGTTTATATTTTACTAAATTTATGAAAAGACAAATATAGACAGGACAACCAGCAGTCAGGTGCCATCATCAATACTTTCACATATTGACTTCAATAAATCAGTGATATTTATTTAAAACATGTTGTCAGGCCAAGTTTCTTCGTACTGACCCAGAACTCTCGACACTAAACAGATGATGACGGTGAAAATGACAAAGGTCCAGTTCCAGGCGTGAGGACCGGCCACGGTGGAAACGCCCAGGAAGATGAAGATGAGCGTCTCGCTGACGCTGCTCCACATCTTCAGGAAGTATTTGATGGTGGTGTAGGACTTGTGGGAGATGTTGGCCTCCACGTACGGACGCATCATCACGCCGCACGCAATCAACCTGATCAGGACGGAGGGAAAGAAGGGAAGTGATAAACGTGTTAATATGGAGAGAGAAAGTTTCTGTTCATTTAAAGCTGCATCAGAAAATATTTGTATGTTAAAATAAAACACATCATAAGTGTCTGTAATGCAGAAGTGAAGCCAATTTAAAGCTGCAACTAAAACTTATTTCAATTATCAATTATTCTGCAGATTATTATCTCGATGAATCAGTTTATAGTTTGTTTTATAAAATGTTGGAAAAGTCGATGGTTACACCTTCAGTTTTATTTGACCAACAATCAAACACTGAAGGAATAAAATGTACAACAATATAAAATAAAATAAAGCAGCAAATCTTCACAACTGAGAAGTTAGAAACGTAATATTTGGTGATTAATCAATTATTAGAAAAGTTGATGATTTGACCGAAACATTTTTACCCAGATAAAGTTTCAAATTTAAACTGTCTTGTAAAACTAATTAAAAAATATCTTGCGATGCAATAATTAATAAATAATTCAATCATTTACAAATAAATAAATGCAATTTAATTTAATAAATAAATGAAATCACACTGAATTGTCATGTTTCATTATCTCCCCTCCAAAGACAGACAGTGAAACCTTTTCATGAAGTCTGAGATGAAAAGGTTTCAGATCAACTGGTTTAAACGTTCTGTCTGGTCCCGGATAAATAAAGGTTCAGAATATATATATATATATATATATATATATATGTATATATGTATATATATGTATCTATGTGCGTCTGTTTTTCATCAGTCAAACAGGATGAACCAGATTTTTCGAGGCGTCGCTGCCGACTCGGACTTACGACATGATGCCCGACAGGTGGAAGACCTCGGCAGAGAGGTACGCCATGTAGCTGTAGAGGAAAACAAACAGGGGCTCGATGACGCGGGTGTGAGAGGTGAAGCGGGAAGTGAAAGCTCCCAGGACGCCGTAGATGGCCCCCACCATGATGCCCCCCAGGGACACCACCAAGAAACAGACGACACCGAGGAGGGCGTCGCCCACGGTCACCGTCCCTGCGTGGGAAAACTCCTCGAACAGGTGATACAGGACCTGCGGGGGGGGGGGGGGGGGGGGGGGGGGGATTAGATGTGGATGATTCTTTTATTGTCTTTTAATTACCTCATCTGGTGATTAGACGGAACGTCCAAAGAACTAGAGTCCACCTCCTCGTGGGCGTGTCCTGCACTCAGACTAGTTCCAGGTCACTTCCTGTTCATCCAGAGTCATAAAATATAAAATATGAACCATTTGTGTGAAATTTTGTCAGAATTTCTGTGAAGTCTTGAGTAACGGCTAAAAAGTGTCTTGTGCGGTCACCGTGACCTTTGACCTTTAGCCACCAAAATCTAATCAGTTCATCCGCGAGTTCCTTCAAGGCGTCACTGAGAGATCGTGTCCATCAGGAAGAGACCTACGACCTCAAAACAAAATGGCCTCCTCCTGAATGTCGTTTCCTCCGAGGAATAAAAAGAATCCAGATATCGTGAAACGGCCTTTTTACTTCGACAGTTTAATTATTTTCTCATGAACTGCTGCACGTCCTTCACTGACAGAGTCTGTATTTTTATACTGATCATGGTTCAGATTTATATTCTCATTAATCTTCAGTCGTTCCTTCCTGCTCTCATGTCTGCACCAGTGATATAGATGCTATAATCACTGTCACTGTGCAGCGCTGCAGTCAAGGATCATGGATCAATAAATCAGAAACCACAGTGTTAATCGGCTCGTTCCTCTGAACAGACCCTCAACGTTTGTTTATTGCAGCTGAAATTATAATTAAAATTTATCATCATCAGAAACATCTCGATGGAACTTCTTCACATTCGGCACAAACATCCGCCTGAACTCAAGGATGAACCGATTAGATTTTGGTGGTCAAAGGTCAGAGGTCGGAGTGACCTCACAAAACACAACAAAATTTCACACAAATGGTTCATATTTTATATTTTATGACTCTGGATAAACAGGAAGTGACCTGGAACTAGTCTGAGAGGCGGAGGGATACGACCACGAGGAGATGATTGTAGTTTAATGTAAAATCTCGATCTAAAATGTAGCGGAGTTAAAGTGTAAATGAGTTAAAGTGTAAAGAAGTAGTAAAAACTCAGGTAAAGTCCAAATAAAACAAGGTCATATATAAATACAGAACTGTACTCAGTTACTTTCCGCCTTCCTTTGACTCACCACGGTGACGGCGTCGTTGAGCAGCGACTCCCCGAACACGAGGATGTGCAGCAGCTCGTTGATGTGGATCTCCTCGAACACGGCGAGGACGGCCACGGGGTCGACGGCCGAGACGATGGAGCCGAAGAGCAGGCAGGACAGCAGGTCAACGCCGCTCAGCTGGGCCCCTTCGATCTGACACACGCCGTACATCATCCCGCCCACGAAGAAGGCGTTCCACAGCGTGCCCACCACCGCGAACACCAGGATGGTGCCCATGTTCTCCATGAAGGGGCGGATGGGCAGGAAGTAGCCGGCGTCCAGGATGATAGGCGGCAGCAGGTAGAGGAAGAAGAGCTTGGAGTCCAGGATGGGGGCTTCCTCTCCGATCGCTTTGATGATGCCGCCGACGAGCAGACCGACCACGATCAGCAGACAGCTCTCTGGGACCACGTGAGACACTCGGGGGATGATGTGGAAACCTGCAGAGAGCAATTAATAATTACTTTATTATCAATTAACCTGCTGATTATTTCCTCAACTAGTCATTTTGTCTAAAAGAATGGCAGAAAAGTGTCCATTATAATAATGAATTATAATTTCTCACATCCCAAAGTGACACTTTAAAATGTCTTGTGTTATCCAAAGCCACATATATTCACTTTATCATCATATATGACAAAGAAAAGTATGAAGTCTTCACTTTGAGGAATCTGGAACCAGCAGGTGATTTACGTCGGCCAAGAGCTCCCTCATGATAAGTGTCTGTAGTGAACCTTGAACTACAGATCATAGAAAGTCTAAACAGCCTCTCTGACATTCACACATGGAGGATTAATCCTTCATTAATGTGTCGGAGCAGGGAGAGAGAATTCTTTAGGTTTTACACAACTTATTTTAGAGAAAAACATCTTCTATCACACAACATCATTTCCCTGTTTTACCTAAGACATGAAAACATAACAGCCATAATGATTTAAATGTATTTTATTGAAAGTGAAAATGACAAGAACATTCTGTAACTGCTGGGATTTATTATACAACCAGATCCAGATCAGATCCAGGTCTCAGTCCAGTCTGTCTGCTGCCAGAACCTCAGTCAGTGAAGTGGCAGCTCAGGTTCCTTTATAATCTTCTGATCTTTTATTTGAACTGAAAACTTTATCTCAGGCTCAAACTTGTTTTATAAGTCAATTTAAATCCAACAGCAGCTGGTGTTCACTGTCAGAGACACTGCAGGACACGAGACAGACTTCAGACCTTCACCTCGTACAGTCAGTCAGTCAGTCAGTCAGTCAGTCAGTCAGTCGCTTTATCTCTGTGTTGTACCTAGCAGTTGAAAAGAAATAGAGAACTGCAACAGACGTCCTCTATGCAACATTGATAACGCATGTTTGCTAACATGCTGCAAAGAAACAAAACGGACTGTCTGTCCATCCCTGTTCTCTCTCTCTCTCTGTCATCTCTCTCTCTTGTCTCTTCTCATCTCTATTGCTCTCTCTCTTGCTTCCTCCTCTCTCTCTCTCTCTGCTTTCTCATCGTCCTCTCGTTCTGTCTCCCTCTCTTCCTCTCTTCTGTCTCTCTGTCTCGCTCTCTGTCGCTCACCTCCTGCTCTCTCTCTCTGCTGCTCTCTTGCTCTCTGTCTTCTTCTCTCTCTGTCTCTTTCTTCTTTCTCTCTCTCTGTCTCTCTCTCTGCTCTCTCTCTCTTCTCTCTCTCTCTGTCTGTATTTTCTTCACTGTTTGTCTTTATCATTTAGTCCCTTTGACTTCTGGGTAAATGTGACGACATTTCTCAGTTTTCAAATTATTTTACAAACCACTTGATTAATCAAGAAGAAAATCATCATCACTCCCAGTCCTGAACAAGAATCAGTCAGCAGCCAAAGTCCCTTTAATATTAACACATCCGTCCTATAATAGAATAGTGACTTGTTCTCTGTCAGTGTGAGTCATGTGACCGAGGTCCAGGCTGCTGTAACCAACGTTTTCCACCGTGTTTCAGTCAGTGGTCCCGTGCCCCCCCCCCCACTCTGCACACTGAGATCTTTGTTATCGACCGTTGCACTCGGACAGGAAGTTGGACCGGCCCCGAGGGACGCCGGCTGGACGGACAGATAAGATGGTGGAGAGCTTCAGTGACGGAGCACAGAGAGATTCCTGCAGCTGATCAGCCCCGAGCTCAGCGTCGCCCTCTGTGTTCCAACGGTAGAATAAACTGCAGCCTGAACATCGTCCTGTGAGTTCAGCTCAGACGCTGCTCAGAGTGGGTCACAGTGAGAACACCACACTGAGCACTGCTGTGACCTCGTGGACCGACGCTGCTACTTTCTGTTTTATTTCTTTACTAATCTGCCAATTATTTTCTCTATTGATCATTTAGTCCATCAAATGTTTACAATTTGTGAGAAATTGGATTTTATATTCGCAGCTCATGGTAATGTCGTAAAGTTTCAGCCAGTTTAAAACCTTATGATACACAATTTTTATTTTCATTTTCAATTCTTTACAAATATCAGAGTGTTACATCTGAGAATATTTGACATTTTTGTTCAATAAATTACAAACTATGAAACTATCAAAATTTGACTATTTTTGACTATATTGACAAATTTTGGGCAGTTTTTACCTTTAATGGGGGGGGGGGGGGGTTTTTTAGCAAGCGTCGGTCCACGAGGTCACAGCAGTGCTCAGTGTGGTGTTCTCACTGTACCCACTCTGAGCAGCGTCTGAGCTGAACTCACAGGACGATGTTCAGGCTGCCAGTTTATCTACCGTTGGAACACAGAGGGGCGACGCTGAGCTCGGGGCTGATCAGTGCAGGAATCTCTCTGTGCTCCGTCACTGAAGCTCTCCACCATCTTATCTGTCGTCCAGCCGGCGTCCCTCGGGGCCGGTCCAACTTCCTGTCCGAGTCGCAACGGTCGATAACAAAGATCTCAGTGTGCAGAGTGGAGGGGGGGCCACGGGAACCACTGACTAAACACGGTGGAAAACGTTGGTTACAGCAGCCTGGACCTCGGTCACATGACTCACACTGACAGAGAACAAGTCACTATCTATTATCGGACGGATGTGTTAATATTAAGGGGACTTTGGCTGCTGACTGATTCTTTGTTCAGGCGACTGGGAGCTGTGTGATGATTTTCTTCTTGATTAATGTGGGTGCATGTGGTTCTAGTAAAATAATTTGAAAACTGAGAAATGTCGTCACATTATACCAGAAGTCAAAGGGACTAAATGATAAAGACCAAACAAGTGAAGAAATACAGACAGAGAGAGAGACAGAGGAGAGAGAGACAGAGAGAGAGAGAGAGAGAGAGAGACAGAGAGAGAGACAGGAGAGAGAGAGAAAGAGACAGAAGAGAGAAGAGCAGAGAGAGAGAGCACAGAGAGAGCAGAGCAGGATGAGAGAGAGACGCGAGACAGAGAAGAAGAGAGGAGAGGAAGAGAGAGGGAGAGAGAGAGAGGAGATGAGAGACAGAGAGAGAGAGAGAGAGAGAGAGACAGAGAGAGAGCAATAGAGATAGACGAGAGACAGAGAGAGAGAGAGACAGAGGAGAGAGAGAACAGGGATGGACAGACAGTCCGTTTTGTTTCTTGCAGCATGTTAGCCACAACATGTTACATTTGTCATGAGGACGTCGTAGTCTGCGTCTCTCTATTTCTTTTTCAACTGCTAGTACAACACAGAGAACTAAACCGATCTGAACTGACTGACTGGACTGATGACTGACTGACTGACTGTATCGAGGGTGAAGGTTCTGAAGTCTCTGCCTCGCGTCCTCAGTGTCTGTCTGACAGTGAACACCAAGCTGCTGTTGGATTTAAAATTGACTTATAAAACAAGTTTGAGCCTGAGATAAAGTTTTCAGTTTCAAATAAAAGATCAGGAAGATTATAAAGGAACCTGAGCTGCCCACTTCACTATGACTGAGGTTCTGGAGCAAGACAGCCTGGGACATGAAACCTGGATCTCGAAATCTGGATCTGTTGTATAATAAATCCCAGCAGTTACAGAATGTTCTTGTCATTTTCAACTTTCAATAAATACATTTAAATCATTATGGCTGTTTCATGTTTTTCATGTCTTAGGTAAACAGGGAAATGATGTTGTGTTGATAGAAGATGTTTTTCTCTAAATAGTTGTGTAAAAACTAAAAGAATTCTCTCCATCCCTGCTTTCCCGACACATTATGAAGGATTAATCCTCCATGTGTGAATGTCAAGAGAGGCTGTTTAGAACTTTCTATGATCTTGTACAGTTCAAGTCACTAACAGAACACTTCTATCATGAGGGAGCCTCTTGGCCGACGGTAAATCACATCCTGCTTGGGTTCCAGATTCCTCAAAGTGAAGACTTCATACTTTTCTTTGTCATAGTATGATGATAAAGTGATATATTGTGGCTTTGGATAACACAAGACTTATTAAAGTGTCACTTTCGGGATTTGAATTATCAATTCATTATTATACTGGATCCACTCTTTCTGCCATTCTTTTACGACAGAATGCACTAGTTGAGGAATAATTCACAGCAAGGCTTAATTGATAATAAAGTAAATTATTAATTGCCTTCTGCAGGTTTCCACATCATCCCCGCCCCGAGTGTCTCACGTGGTTCCTTACTGAGAGAGCTGTCTGCTGATCGTGGTCGGTCTGCTCGTCGGCGGCATCAATCAAAGCGATCGGAGAGGAGCCCCATCCTGGACTCCACAGCTCTTCTTCCTCTACCTGCTGGCTCCCGCGCCTATCATCCTGGACAAGCGGCTACTTCCTGCCCTACGCCGCGCCCTTCATGAGACAGGGCACCCATCCTGGTTTGCCCGGTGGTGGCTACGTGTGGAACTCGCCTTCCTTTCGTTGGGCGGGATGAATGTACGGCGTGTGGTCAGATCGATCAGGGGCCAGCTGAGCGGCGTTTTGACCTGCTGTCCGCTGCTGCTCTTCGCTCCATCGTCTCGGCCGTCGACCTCCTTGTGCGGTGGCGTCCTCGTCTTTAGTTTGAGCCGTGTTTCGAGAGATCACATCAACGAGCTGCTGCACATCCTCGTGTTCGGAGGGAGTCGGCTGCTCAAGTCGACGCGTCACCTTTGTGGTGAGTCAAAGGAAGGCGGAAAGTTAACGTCGAGTACAAGTTCTGTATTTATATATGACTTTGTTTTATTTGGACTTTACCTGAGTTTTTACTACTTCTTTACACTTTAAACATCATTTACACCTTTCAACTCCGCTATTACATTTAGAATCTGAGATTTACATTAAAAACTAAGCAATCATCTCCGTAATGGTCGTTCCTCCGCCTTCAGACTAGTCCAGGTCAACTTCCTGTTTATCCCAGTCATAAATATAGTAAATATGAATTGCCATTTGTGTCGAAAATTTGAG